ATGCTGAAATTGTAATGTGTAGAAGAAAGTGAGAATTTAAGATTGGAAAATGATACAGAACATGGGTCTTGAATGTGTGATGAGCAGTGTTGGACTAACGCGTTAGGTAACGCAACTTACTTTTTGCAGTACTAATGGCGTTACTAGTTACCTATTCCCATTAAGTAACGCCGTTATAGTTAACTGTGATTAAATGGTTTGCGCGTTACATTATGTGATGGGAACGGAACCGAATCTCCCTGCGGATGTAACTTACAGGCGATACAGCGATGTCCTGTCACAGACCATGGAAAAGTGAAAGTAACCATAGAGGAGTTGTGATTGGTTAACGCGGGGTAAACATTTCAGGGTAGGCCAATCAGAAACAGAGTTGGGCGGGTCTTGCCTTATGGGGATAAATACACAAACACGAACACTTGCTACACACCAACACACACCACACACACAACACACACACACACACACACACACACACACACACGGCACGCTCACCCACCAGCACACAACAGACAATGGCAGATGCAAGTATCAGCGAGATAGCAGCAGCGCATTTGCAAACTTGGAAATATAACACTAATTTTCAATTTTCGGGGGAAATAAAGGATGCAAAAAAGCTTACGGTAAAATGTAATGTGTGCAGGACAGAAAGCATTGTCACACATTGAATAAAGCAATGCCCAATCTCCTGAACACCAACTAATGTATTATGGCCTATAAAACTAGTCGCCACAGACCCCACCGTCTCACCAATGTCTAAACATATCTTTGTGTTTTATATGTTCCACAACATTTCATAATGGATAATTGCTACAATGATGGGGTAGTTGTCTTTTCTCTTACTGTGCCACAGAACAACACAAAACTTGTATTTAAATTGTATTATTTTTAAAGAAAGTAAAGTAACTTGTTACTAGTTACTTTTATAATTTAGTAACTAATAAAGTAACTAGTTACTTTTTTTGAGAGCAGTACTATAACTATTACAGTACTTTTAAAAGTACTTGCCCAACACTGGTGAATGAGAGAGAAAAGAAAGTAAAAAGGCTTGGAAAAGCAGTCAAGAATATTTGAACGCACCTTTGAACTACTTGATGGCGAATGATCTGTTCGCCATGCGAGTCATAGTCGCCACGCCCATGTGTTAGCACACATGGAAGTTGAGCAACTTTTTTAACATTTTCGTAAGGAGTTATAAGTGGACATCGCTTTTATGGCGAGGATGCGTTTCTATGGAAATGCATAATGGTGAGATCTCAGATCTTGGCGTAAGAGCTGGTTGAGGCCATGGACCGTATATACAAGTGAAGGATTGGGGGATCGATTTGACCGTGTCGATTGGAACTTACAGCCGACTCGTGTTTCCTGGCGAGTTGATCTGTCGCTCATGGCAACGGCATTTGATGAACACGATAATACGCCTTAGATGTTGTGGATTTTGGCCCCCCTGCATCGTTACCAAACCTGTGAAGTTTTGGGCCCGTTTGGAGTCATTTTTCACTGAAGTTATGAAAAAACCTTGCTTCATGGCGAGCCTTGTGTTACCATGGCAACGGCATTTTAAGAATCTCAAAAACTCTCACGTAGATGTCGTCACGGCCTGGACTGTTAGCACACAGGTGAAGCTTGAGCACTTTTTGAACATTTTCATAGGAGTTAATGTAAAGCGACATCATCTTTTATGGCAAGGGATGCGTTTCCATGGAAAAGCAGATGATGACACCCCATAATTGACGTAGAGCTGTTGAGGGCAGGACCATTAACCTTTATCTGAAGTCTGCTGCTCTGAGCATGTCAGTTGGAGCGATGACATCATCGTGTTCCATGACACAGGTGTTAATATTTGAACTAACGAGGTGTGCAGAGATCAGAGGTTTTCATTGTTCTGAATGAGAGATAAACCTCTTACATGTGAACGTTTTGTTGAAGAACCGTAACAGATATCTGTGAAATTTCAAAGCGTGAAGCATCTCAAGGTCCTTGAGTATCTGAAGTGTGCTTTTTGTGTACTTTCGGGTTAATAATGTGGCCTTTTTGGCAGTTTAACTAAAGGTGTGCGGCTGCTGCTGTGAGGAAATATCAGCCTGAAGTTACAATGGGCTTTAATGGAGACATGTTGAAAGTTGTTGTCACTTCATGCCCTCAAGAGGCACTTTGTTTAATTATTTTTTGCTTAATTATTTGTCATTTTTCAAGCTAGGAGATGTTTTCCTACGTTTGTCATGAATAATTATGTCTCAGGAATGTAGGGTTTGGGAATTATGAAAGTTTTTAAAAAAAATATGAAGGCAAATTTCAAACTGTCCTCCACTCTAACTCTGACATCACACACTCTGCCTTAACGAGCTGCGCAATGTTAAAGTTAAAATGTTAAAAATGTGATGAATTATGGGCAGCCGCGGCGCTAGGATTTCAATTTTGGGTGGGCCAATGTAATTTCGGCTGGGCCTGTTCTAATAGATGTTTCTCGTTAACAAAAATAAAATAAAAACAAATTCCTGCATATCATTGTAGGCAACTGTGGAGTGCATTTTTCCTATAGTAAAGACACTTTTTCTAAACCCTTCTCTTTTAAAAATGTTCACTTATAAGAAGCTTAAATATTATTTAAATGATTAAACGGCATGCCGCAATGAGTGAAATTAAATGTTAAACTAGCCTACTGCATGTTATTTTGTTTTGGTTCACAATACATTGATACATTTAGAAACAAAGAGCATACAGCGGCAGAATACGGAATAATGACCGAGCACCTGATGTGTGTCTGTGTGGTTAGACTGCAGCCTGCTGTCCTTTTTAGCGGATCTAGCGAAGTGAGCGGCCGTGAGTAAATGGCACTGGTTCTCTGACGCGGCACTTTTCAGAGGTTGCAGATTTATCATTAGGCTACTTCCTTCTGATACTGCAGAGCTTTCATTAGCTGAAGGTAGGCTACATTTCATTCTAAAGCAGCTGGGCAGCAGATACTGTTGCTTCACACTCATAAGCTTTGCTGATTTGGGCTGGAGAATGCCTGCCGCGTCAGGGTGCGCTCTGGTAGTTGCAAATGGCACGAAATGTTAGCTCTACGTTTCTTAATCCATTTTCTAGATATTTAGTCTCAATATGAAATGAGGAATCTCTTCCTTTGCACACGTGAGAATTATGTCCATTAAAACTTTAAGTGTTCCCGATTTTTCTCAATGATCTCTCCCTGTCGGCCCTCTGGGTTGAGTAGCTGATGGAGGATGGTTCCATGGTCAGACTTCTCGCACTGTCTGTAGTTTTTATTTATCTCCATAGCTATTGCATGAGCTGCGCTGCATTCGTGTTCACTGAGAGATATTCGATATGTTTCCAGTCCCTGTAACCATGGCGACTGAATGTATCTTCTCCGCCGGCCCCTCCTCTCTCACTAAAATGTCGGCACATTTTACAAAACACATTGTCCTTGCTAATGCTATACTCCAAGTATGTGGGCAGCGAAGCTCCTTTTCTTTTGTCCGAAAAGTGTCTGAGGGTACTTTATGAGCTTTGGCTGTGTAGCCGCCGGGTCATCTATGGCTGATAGGTCCGGCACTGGGATGCTATTTTCTGTTATCCTGCAACGGGTGCTACGTCCCGCAGAGGGACTGAGCTCAGCGGGGGCACAACATTAAACACACTCTCGTCTCTCTGAGGCGGCACCTGCTGTGAGGATGATGAGTGTGGTGGTTCCGGCGGCGGCGACTCTGTTCTTACTCTTTTTAAAAAACCTGAACATCGATTGTTGTGAGATCGTTAGTGAGCGCGGTATATTTTTTGTGTCTGTCCATAACGCCACAGCTGGGATATGTAACCCTGGCACTGGAGCTGGTAAAATACAGATTCACTAACATTAACTCTTCTTTCCTGTCTCTGCCTAATCTTATTAGCAAATAGCAGTGTATAAACAGTTAGGTAGCAGCTTCTTATTTTAAGTCCACCTGATCGTCACCTTCACCGGTCAGAATGTTAACGCTGGTAGCTGCTAGTCACATGAGCTGTCGCCTATAAATGTTAATTAAGTGAGTAACTTGATAACAGGCCAGAATGAAACCAGTCTGTAGTCTGGTTAGAGAGCTCTCTGCAAACTGCTGTGTACTCAACCAAATATCCTGAAAATGTATGAGGAAATCCTTTTTGTAGTGTGATTTTATTCAAGAAATCTGAGAGCAGAGCATCCCATCATTTTTCAGTCCTAGTGGAACATTCATTAATGAATCAATAATAGAAACTTCTTTATCCTCTGCTGCCATTTCTACTTTGTAAACTGGTCTTATTTAGCAGTTATTTTTTGGAATGAGAGTTACTGTCTTTTAGCCTGAACTGAATCTATCAAATTTCTTTCCCAGTTAAATTGCCAAATGCTTACATTGAATGCAAAAGAGATACAATAAGCATGTTGATACTGGTTTCAGCTTGGTTAACATGTTGTCAAATCTCAACCCCAACTGCAAAATCTAAAAAAACTGGCATGTTGTCCTTTATTAGGTTTAAAGTACAGCTTAGGTTTCATAACTATTTAGTTATGTTTTTGTAAAGTCAGTTGAATCTTATACAAACTGTATGTTTAATGATTAAAAAGGAGATGAACTTCTTTATAAACTTAGCTGCCAGTAACCATCAAATAAAGTATAGATCACGGCAAATGCCTGTGTAATAAACTGCTAAGTCTTTTATCCTTTGCTGTTCACTTTATATTGAATGTTTTTCAAGAGACTAAAATACATGAGCTTTTTTTTGGTTTTTGTTGTGTTCACTGAAAACCGTGCGAACGACTGAAATAGCGACTACTTAATGTTAAGATATTTTTCTCTGGGAACCCTTAGTTAACCAAATAATGGTTTCTTAATCCTGTCTTGAGTATATGTACTGTACACCATTGCAGGTGAGAGATCAATAATGTTGGTTTTGGTCAAATGATATTCATAACCCAGCAATATCTTGGATGCACATTAATCTAAAGAAGATGCGATACAACCACAGGTGAAGTGTGGACTGACCTACGTGTCACTGTGGGACAGCAGCGATGTGATCTCGGGGCTCATGTGGCCCACCGCCTTGGCTGCCTCCTGGATTGCTCTTCGGTACATCCCTTTCTTCTTGCGGTTGAAGCGGGACCTGAAGAGTTCCCTGAAGGGCGACAGTTTGGCAACGGAGAGTTGGGAGGTGGTGGGTGAACCGAACCACGCTACCTTGGCCTGGGGCCACTGGGCCTCGCAGCTGGCCGTCTCCTGTTTGCGGGTGCCGCTGATGCTGAGGACGCGTGCGGGCCACCAGGGGAAGCCGTGAATCTTCCCCCACACGATGTCACCCACAGCAACGGCGTGACCCTCTTCGGTTACGCACTTTGTCATGCTGCGGGTGTGAAGCCGCACAGTAAGCGGTGGCACTGTCTTGCAGTCCTCCCGTAATGGGACGGAAGACGAGGTGACGGACAGGTCTTCCCCCGGGGCCAGGTCGCAGAGTTCTGGTGAGGTGCCGTCGGAGCTGAAGGACTTGGACTCGTCTAGACTGTCGCTGCTGCACACTGACAGGCTAGAAGAATCCGCTTTGCGCTTACGGAAATTAATAAGAAGGGTAAGGTCGCTGTGGCCGCGCTCCACCTCCTCTCCTGAACTCCCAGACCACAACTCCAGAGAGTTTTTACCTTCCCCCGAGTCGTCAGATTGGGGGAGGCATGGCCCGGGCACCCTGGGGCTTCGTCTCCTGGTGCCTCCTACAAGTTCTGCCTCATACTCCACCACACTGTCCTCACCCTCCCTCTGAGGGGGTCTCAAGTGGATCTTTGGAGAAGGCAAGTCCTGACCCACAGTTGTATAGGGCCTGGTAAGTTTGAGTTTGGGAATGGACACAGTCAGGCCAGACCTTGTGGCATCTAAAATGTGCCGTTGCTCCTTTGTGGGATCAGAAGGCATCTTGCCGTTTTCTCCCAGGCCATTCAGCGCCAGTTGTTTTGGGCAGAAAGGCTTGACTGACCCGTGGACTCTCGCGGGGATCTTCATGACCTCCCCCTTGCCCTGTGGAGTGCTGTAGGAGATCTTTATGACAGGACTGTGGGGGATAACGTCACCTCCGGGGAACTTCTCCCCTTCGGGCTCCCCCCTTTTGTCCTTCCTGAGACGCTTGCTGTCAAGGCTGGGGCCATTTTCACGTCTCTTAGTGTCCTTGCCTGCAACAACATCCTCTTTTCTCAACAGCTTAGAAGTGGTGTCCTTGTCCTCACCGTCATCATCGCTCTGTAGTGCATTCTCTTTTCTAGGAGTCTTAGTGTTGCTCATGCCATCTTTGCTGTCCTCGTCACTGTTCAGTGTGTTCTTGCACTTTTCACACAGTACCTGCCGTGGCCGTAGACGGATAGTACTCATGGTCATGCGGCCAGGCTCTCTCGTTCGCCTTTTCTTTCTCTTGATTGGTCGTGGAGGGGGCTGAGGTACCCATTGGCTGTAGCTGTGGCGCACCCATAAGGGCTGAGGGAAGGGGGCTCCTTCAAAATAAGGAGGGTAAGGAGTCTGTCCAGCGAGCACTGGTGTGGGTACAGGGCAGGGAAGAGGTGCAGAAGGTAAGCTGCTTTCTGGGAGACTATTTTCATCCTTTGGTCTGTGTGAAGCCTGGCTGGGAGATTTGGAAACCGGCTCCTCACTCAGAACTTCTGGGACTTCACACGCCGGTGTAGATATCGGGAAGTGCCTGTTATCTGCTTTGAAATCTGGTAGACAGAATAGCCCAGTCCTGAAATGAAGAAGAAAAAAAACAAGAATCAATGAATAACTGTGTGTTTCATTGAGCTTCATTAAAGTACTGCAGTGAATTGCATGCAACAAAAACATTCCTACATTTTAGTTAAACAATTTTCTCCACAAGAATGATCCCGTTATGTCGTAATTCTATTTGACCATGTTGGATCATTCGAGGCCAATAGGACGGGGGAAATCAAATACCTTGCTGTTTCAATTAGCAAAAAATAGAAAAGCATCCAATGCTGATCAACACGTTCCCTTTAAAAAAAGAAAAAGGCACCTACCATAATAAAAAAAACTCTTTACGTTTACTTTACACAGGCTTCCCTCTTCCTGTCACCTGTATGCTGAAAATTCTTTATGTGTGGGGGTTTGGGTCCGCAAGCAGCCAGGCAGCTATCTGTCCTGCTGCCGTAGGCCTCAAATATGGCGCAATAGTATCACTGACTCTTTGAAGGATTTTATGTGTTTTCTTTCATGCTCTAGGACCAGCAAACCTATCCAAAGTAGGCCTATGCCAAGGAGCCTTTGAGAGGTGGCTGGCAGGCAACAGTAACATGGCTGTGCTGCTTTAGTCAGGAGACAGCAGACAAAGAGACTACAGGATGCCCAGGAACCCCCCTCCCCAACATCTGACTGAACAAAAACAATCCCATGAATCACTCGGGATTCAGAGATGTAGGGAAGGAGCCAGGAGATTTCGGTTTGTTTTTACATCCGTGTCTATTTGGGGCTTGTGTGTGGTGAGATTATTAATTAGTGCACATTTGGGGAGCCTGTTTCCCTCCCCAGGAGGAGTAGCTGGCAGGCACCTCCGAAATAATAGTCCCTTGGTGCGGCTTGTTTCTCTCACCTTTTTATATGCGCACCTAAAGCAGCTGAATATTAGCCTTCACAGTGATTGACACGGCACAAAAAGGGCTGCCTGTGACAGCGAACAGGCAGTGCTAGTTAGGCACAGCACAAGGACGCAGCATATGAGCAGCCAGCCATGATTCACTGCGATGTGGCCATTTCACGTTGTGTACAGTGTAACTAGATACAAAGATCTGCCTGAATGATAGGCCTAGATGATGATATATAGAAACCTGTGGAAGACAATGACAGGAAATGTATTTCCATGAGCTGAAAAGGAAGAAGAAGTCAAATGTTGTCAGTGACAAGGCCTAAAATATGGGCCTATTTGAAGTTATTCCAAGGCCTCCCTTTTCCCTTTTGAGTGGGTTATTTTCAGTACAGCTTTAGCTCTCACATGAAAAACCATCTAAGCATACTAAGGGGCAAAGCTGTTCAGATTCTGAATCTGCTCATCTATAAATAGTCTAAAGCCAGTGGCTTTTAAAGTGCACAGAACCAGGAGCCACACAAGGCTTATACCATGTGACACACGTCAAGAGAAGTAGATAAGACATGACACATGTCAGATTGCACTTATTAAGGTTTTTCATTCAGACAGTATTGTGTGTTATGTCTAACTGGCAGGAGTGGGCCTTTTCTTGTGTAGCAAAGACCCTTAAAATGGTCCCTGGATCTTTTCAGAACTAGGTGTAAGGGAAGAGTATTACAGATAAAATTCCTTTATATCCCACATGTATCTGTATGGACATTTGTTTCTGCAGATCAAAAGTGACCGGTTATGAAGAGCCATTTCTCAAACCTGCAACTATATTTCAGATGATTTAAATCACTCCAGAAAATGTGTACACAATGCAGTGCCCTGCAGGTAACGTATAAACATATAAACAACACTAATCTACAGAATATTGTTCAGCGAAGGCCTGCCCTATTACTGAATACGTTTTTAGCTGCTCTGTATTTGATGAAGGCTAACAATAAGCTATAGATAAACCCACTGATATTAGCCAATGTTTAAGATAATTTAATAACAATGTCTGAGGATAGTTGCACTGCTATCTTAACAAACAATATGTCACCGTAATAACATAACGTATCTGACCATGTATTAATGAGCTAAAATGAAATCAGTTCGCCATTAGCCGAGCAGCTAGCAGATAGCTACCCTGTCAGCTACAATAACCTACGAGTCTTTTGTATGGAGGCCCAGTTAGCTATGAGATAACTAGCTCTCCGTTAGCATCAAAGGTAGGTTAGCCGTTACCTGAGTTTAGCAAATTAAAGATAAATGTACAAAGAGAACACTCGAAATGACACTCACTTTTTGTTGCAATCAAGTAATATCCCCGTATAGTTCCTTTCTCGGTAGGTCAGCGTCACCACCAGTGTATCGTTAACTATTTGATCGATAGTGACAGGTACCCGAGAGCCGGCCCGCAGCTCCTCGGCCACAGCCTCCATGTTTCCCGGCGTTTCGTGTCCCGCTCTGCGGTGCTCGATCGCCGCCAAGGGAGCCACGGTCGCGTCGGCTAAAGATCCGTCTCCCCTTCGCTATAGGAGCAGGAGGCTACACCAGGGCATAAAATGACGCCATCACCCCCACCAAGTCAATTACAACAGCACTGCCACCGCTGACATCACGCTCCCTGTGCTGGAGGAGCAGAAATCTCTCAAGACAAGGCCTCCCCTCTCTGTCTCACTTTGACTTGTTTTAGGCTATTCATCTAGTACGGACTTTAACTCGGATATGCCATTGTTTTTCATAGCGAGAGGCTATGGCGTTTAGCACCCATTGTATACTAAGAGTATAATGATAAACACGATAAAGTGTGGATGCATTTTCTAATATTTTGTAAGCGAAATTGGACAAATGTGACCTCTCTATTCACAATATATACAGCATCCAAATTAAACCACAGTTAGTTATACTTTCTCTGTTATTGTCTCAAATACTCTTTAACATCATCATTTTATTTTGTACACTACTTGAAATGAACCCTATTGCTATTTCGACTATTTTAACCTACAAAGTTGTGTTGTTCCTAATGTGAAAATAAGTGATGGTTGTTGATGTTACAATTTTTCTGTTGATACCCTTTCAACCCTTTTATCCAAGGCTTTTTTTAAATGTACATTGTGTTTTAGGTCTCAGTTTTTGTTATGCTTATACTATTATGTCTGCTGAATGTTGCATATAACAATGGATAACTTGATTGTACACAGTAAATATGTAAAATTGCCATAAAACCTTTTACATGTTTGTATTGAATGATAATAAGGTCAACATAAATTGCAAACATAACTAGTTTGTATGATGGAGAGGATGTTTTGCAAAAGAAAAGTTGAAAACACTCACTTGGCCAGTAACAATGCTTTATTTGTATGTTCTGAGCATTGCAATGATCATCAACAAAGGTCTTAGTCTTTACAATACATTTTGAGTATAAAAGTAATACCACAAAACCCATACAGGCATTAAAATCCCTGTTACTTGTCAATAAAACTCGGCAAGTTGTCCCCAGTGACGATAGTAAAATGTTTCTGAAGATCTATTCCCCAATTTTTCTTCCTCTGGAGAAGCTGAGCCTGTAGCTTCCTCATCTGTCATTCATAGTGGGGAAGAACACAACAAATTCAGATCAATATCCAATAATTCAAATATAGATGGGTTGTGTGAATAATGAAGTATAGGCCTGACCTCCTCCACGTCCTTCTCTGCAACTGCCATCTGCTCGGAAATCGTGCCCCTGGGATTCCTGCGTCTCTCCTGCATCTTCTCAACACGGGCACAGATCTGCTGCTCCAGCTCACGGGCTGATCTACAGGGTCATACAGGTCAAAAATCCATTTAAAAATACTGAATATTTAATTGCCTAAGCATTGCCAGTGTTATTATAGCCTTTAGGTAGACATCTGATTAAAAATGCAAGCCGTTGAGTGACTTGTTGTCTCCTTAGTTAAGATCTATTCCATCAATGGAAACAGAAAATGTGTATTATCTATTCTGGTTGATCTGTTTTTTAGGAATAATGTTTCAAAAGAAGAACAAAAGAAACTGCTGATGGTGTGGTGGGAGTAAACTCTTTCTTTGTCCACTAGATGTCTCTAGCCTTCCATCTGCATGGCTCACCATTGAAGACAATACAAAATGCCATTTGGTGTATACTTTTAGATCCTGTATCCCTGTTTAAGTTGTGTGAAGAAATCACAGATACAATATGCATAGCAGTGTTCTAATCAGGAATACTGATGACACAAACGTATTGTGCCTCATTTCCCTTATGAAATCTGCAACCACAAAGGAGGTAAAGGAGATACATGCATAGGATTAAAGTGTTAGGGAGGGATTTTTACATTTTGAGATGCTTAATACCAAACAAGATTTGAAGTTATAATCAGGAAGATGTTCCCAGTCTTTTGTATGTTTAAATTCAACGCTACCAATAGTAATGATATGACAAAATAGGAATAATTAAACATAAGTATGATTATAATTGTTATACAGGCCCTGGTTTCATATTGTTGTACACCAGATGTTTTGTCTGGAGTAGACAGTATTTTGTTATGTTGGTTACCCTTTTTCCACCAAAAGAAGCAAGGCTTTTTTATACGGGAAAACCCACTTGGAAATAGATGACATATTTATTTCCTATTGTCAGTAGACAACATTTATCTTTGTTTATACCTGGTTTGGTAAATTTGATGATGTAGATTCCTGGCACCAGAAGCAAGGTTAATAAACAGTGAACATTTTAGGGTGGCAACTTTTTTTTATATCCGTTACTTATTGAGTGAAGGAGCTGAAGCAGACAAATACCCTTCACTACTGCAGAGGTATTTGTCCTGAAAATGAAAGCCCATTGTAACCTTTCCAACTAAAGACAAAAGCCAGATGTTAGCGGGTGTTAGGGAGGATTCATTTCCAGTGGGAAGTGTGATTCAGATTTTTCATTTACCTTGTCTCCTCAAACTGTGTGATGGACATTCCTGGTGTCTTACTAGAACCACTGCCATCCTCCACACTGGGCTTTGAATCTGTTACTGCTTCCTTTAACAGAGAGGGGATGTTTATTATCATGTACATCACTATAAAGCTTGTGTACATAAAGCAAGATACAGCTGTTGCAACACATCCTACAAACAGCCTCATTGCGTCAAATTACCCCAATGCATTGTCTTTTTCCTAGACTATCCAGTGAATATTTACACTGACGTTGCTAGTTGAATGCAAACATTAAACGCTACACTTCAGCTGTATGCGTGGAAATGCATCTGACAGTCAAATCACTCAAAACCGTCCATCTGCATGGTCTACATTTGGTGGCTGCCGGCATGTATACATCAGCTTTGACAACTATATGTTGCCGCTGTGCGATCACTGATGCAGCAAAAGTCCCTCGCAAGCACTGCCATCTGTTGCTGCCTCCATGAGCACCATCCTCAATACATTCATAAAGGATCACTGACAATGCAGCTACCTGAAAACTCACTTACTGGCATCATAATGTTTTACTAAATGCATTGTTCTCCATCCAATCTGGCAGAGGTGGTGCTCTTTCGCCCCCTGGTGGTTGGCAGGTGGACATTTATATGATTTATTTCACACATACCTCTTGGTTTCTTTGTTCGGCATGCTTCTTCTGCTCAGGCATTTTCTTCTTCTGTGTGGTCTTTGCTTCGGTGCGCCACTTGTTAAGAGCGTCATGGCTTCTATGGAAGAACCAAATAACGTATCATTGTATGTCAAGGAAATGTTTCTTTGTGTATTGTTTTTAAGTGGTTCCAAAGGGGTCTACATTGTTTACATATGGATTCCCCACGGTTCCTCACTTGGGAAATGTCAATTAGATGCAATATAACCCTGCTTTATCATGATTTATCTTTGGTATTACCTAGCATGAATATTTTGATTAATGAATCCAATACAATTAAATCCTCTAAAATCTAGTGCAGTAGAATGCTAAATGGGTACATCCTATTATTGAACTCAAGGAATAATATTACTTTCTCCTCTGCTCGACAATAGCCTGTTTTTCGTTCAGCTCTTTCATTGCAGCCGGTCTCCTCTTTTCTGGTCTCTTCCGATGCTGAGAGTCAAACAGTGGAAGCTCGGGAATTGATGCGGCCTTGCTGGCGGCCTTTTTTCTGACAAATCAATTGAAACAAAATGCTTTTATTTGTATTGCTCTCCAGAGCTCTGAGTCCCAGTGGAGACAGCCGGGGATACTGTTATCACTTGGTCTACTCTGCGGAGAATGTCATTAAAAAGTGTTTTGCTATCCTTTTTCCAAGGCACCATGCCATCTATGACTCCAAGACTCGGCACTATATCTATCTGCAGAAACAAAACATATTCACCTCCTCTGTCTGGGTATTAGATAGTAAATTACACTTTCAGACTTCATTGTTCAGGCAGAACATATCTGTTGTGCATAAACCCTTTTCTCCTATTCAGATATACTAGGTGTATTGCAACACAATAATAGCAGGAGCAGTTAAATAAATCATTGTTTTGTTCCCTCATATTTCTGTGAATCTGGCCTACATACATCCCTTTTTTGGAATGAATAGTTTGACATTTTGGGAAATAAGTGTATTCACTTTCAGGCATGGATATAAGAGGAGCAAAACAAATCTCTACGGTATCTGTATATTAAGTTTGAAGCCATAGACATTGAGTAAGCTAAGCTTAGCATAACGCCTGGAAAGACCTAGCCTACCAATGTCCAAAAGTAACAAAATCCACCTACCAGCAGCCCTGACCCTGACTTATTTATATGCTATATCTCATTTTGTTATTTTACAGTGGGCTTTATGTGCGAGTGCCTTATGTTTCCAGCCTCAATGCTATGCTAAGCTAACCCTACCATCTCCTCTGCTTTAGCTTCTTATTCTATGTACTGAGGTATGAGGGTGATACGTTTCTTGACTAACCTTTCAAAAAAAACATTCAATAGAAGTGCATCCTGGATTAAATTTATTATCTCCAAGATTACAGTTTTGAACACGTTGTTACTGTCGTGAATTGAAACAAATGTACTTGGTTAGGTTTAGTACAATATCATGCTTTGGGTTCAATGTTGTATGTATGTAAATTAAGCTTCATGTTTAAAGTAATTATGTAAAGGATGTGACTTAAGTTAAGTGTGTTAAGATGCATAAAACCCCTCAAATGTGTTGCATTAACTTAAAAGATGTTCCCCGTTGACCATTCAACGCGCAACCAATCAGAAGACAGCGGTATGTAGCGCTGCAAGCTAGCAGGTGGGGTAATCAAAGAAACAAAACATAACTGACTTTTTCCATGGCAAGGCTCTGTGCCCAACTTCTCGGTGAACAAAGAGAGAGCCAAGTATCATGTGAATGCAGCATTACATATCTGAACTTAAATGTCAAAGTAAAATAAGTGAATGTTACATTTTGGTTTCACATGGGATACAAACTGCAGCCACCTGGGTGAAATTCCAGTTTATTTTTACACCTTTCCATTAATTTTTATTATAATTTGTGATAATTAAGTCATTGTTAGCAGGCTGAGTGAACATGTATCCCAAGGTTTCAAACTATAACAAAGGAAAAGCATTTCCCTTAAAAATATCTTTCAGCCAAATACCTTAACTCACCTTTTGACGATTGGAAGAAGTGGTGGCTTCTGGTTTCCATCGCCCTGAGCGGTTGAGCCCAGCTCAGCTATGTCCAGCAGAATCATCTTTTGTTTTAATTCCCTGAACCTCTTCATCTCGTCCTCATCCACAGACTCACCCTGCTCCTCGGTGCTGGACCCCATCAGCTCCGACAGCTGGAGCTTCTCCACCACTGGCAACTCTACCAAAGAAACAACCATGGCAGCCAGTATAACAGGGGGGCAGTCAATAACATGTCAGCATTTTAACAACAATTTCACACAACCAACAACAGGAGGTAAAAGTTCCCTTGTAATTGCAGAACAGAAAATGTGGCACTCGTACTTAACTGTAAAAATAAGGGGGAGAATGTCATTTCTATCCAAGTGTAGGATAATTAGACTAATAATCCATGTTATCGCAGCTGAAAAAGGATGACAAAACTGCAGGCTTGAGGAGTAATGGATTACATATAACGGGATTCTGTTATCAGGACACAAATAACTTTATTCCCTTACAGTTACATGAATGACTGGCACATTCTTTACAAATGCGGATTACTAGCAGGATTGCAATGTTACAATAGATTTTAAAATAAAGATATATTATAGGTAGATGTACTGCCTGAATTTTCTTATTGGTTTTCTTTTGGGCTACTTTCATTTTCTTCTTTTTTAAATTATGTTTTTAAATGCAGTAGATGGACACCTGATTTATTAAACAACTAAACTCTGTTTACTTTTCAATAAAGTTTTGAACTAAAACAGCATTTGTAAACTATAGTATTATTTCCTTAACTTAAGATGACACTGTAGTGCCGAGAGATAGGGAGTGGGAGGCGGTGCAATGGAGGTACAAAGCTTGCTTTAATGAGGAGCAGAAATAGAGATGTTGTTGGGTGGCAGCCCGGGACGACAAGAGAGAGAGAAAGGGAGGAGGACACGAAATATATAAAGAGAGCAACACATATGCCTGTGAGGAAACAACACCCTTAACTGTAGTTCCATGAGTGAGTTATGACATGTTATACAGTGGTCATCACAACACATTGTTTTGTCGTCTTACATAATACACTTACTAATAAACATTTGATAGATATTTGTTTGCTCTTGTGTTGATTTGCTTTGCATTTAATATTGAGGTAATACAAAAGTAACTCCCTAACCCCCAACACAGGTACCTAATGCAATACATTTGAATAGTACCCCTCCCAACCCTGCAAAGCAGTATGTAAATACTGCATTTTCAAATCTGCTACTTTATACTCTGAGCCAATGAAATGCAAGGAGACCCGCAGCCCTGTCTGTGTTAATAACCTTGTATGCAGGGAGATAAAGGGTTTGACGGAGGGTTTGGCGTCCTTCATTGTGCAGCGGGAGCCCCTCCTGTGGGGGGCTGTCTTGGGCTTCACAGTGATTACCTCCAGACACTGCTTGGTGACAGAGAGCTCCTGTTTACAGCCCACAGGTTATCAATCACTTGCATCTGGCTAAAAATATTACAGAGCTGGAACAGAGCAAGAGGGGGGGGGAGTCGGTCGGATGGCAAGCGCTGTCTCCAAGGGAACAGAAGTCACACCACAGTGAAGTGGTACCAGGGCAAGGAGCTATTTTTGTGGCCAGCCGTCCCATCTTTCACAAAAAGAGCACAGATGGCTGGAATGCATGTGCATGCTGAACACCTTGCTGCTGCACTGTTCAAAGTTAAGGTGCCTTTTATAGAGGGTGAAGGAATGTGTTCGCAAAGGACTCAGCATTTCAGCACTTCCAGCTCGTTTGTCTCAAGTGTCTTTATTTAGATGCCTGAAATGAGGCCTGTGGTAAAGACAAGCTTAAGCCTTGAAATAAAATACATCATTAAATATCTAAAGCGAGCGAATGTCTCAAGCTTTTTATGCCTTGAGAAAGTGGTTACTAACAAGTGGCTAAATGAAACTACTAAACCACATCACGGCAAAAATAAGTCCGCATTTAGCTTAGCAATGTTGACTTAAAGTTCCTGCTACCACGCTATAGTTCCTTTAAGAGATAAGAGGAAAAAAACAAATCACTACGATATCTGTCTATTAGGTATGAAGCTATAGACAGCCGGTAAGAGAGTATCCGGACTGGCTGCATCACGGCCTGGTACGGCAGCTGCACCGCCCTCAATCGTAAGGCTTTACAGAGGGTGGTGAAAACTGCACAGAACATCACCAGGACGGAGCTGCCATCCATGGAGGACCTTTACTCCCAGCAGCTCAGGAAGAAAGCCCTCAGGATGATCAAAGACCCCCATCACCCCAGCCACAAACTGTTCAGTCTGCTGCCGGCGCTACCGCAGCATCCGGGCTAAAACCACCAGACTCAGGGACAGTTTCATACCACAGGCAATAAGACCGTTAAACACCTGAACTTTGAAAACAACATCCACAATTATTCATCTGGCTGCTACTTCAAAATGATTTATCTGTTTGCCCTAGGCTCTGGAANACGGAGCTGCCATCCATGGAGGACCTCTACTCCCAGCAGCTCAGGAAGAAAGCCCTCAGGATTATCAAAGACCCCCATCACCCCAGCCACAAACTGTTCTGTCTGCTGCCGTCTGGCAGGTGGTACCGCAGCATCCGGACTAAAACCACCAGACTCAGGGACAGTTTCATCCCACAGGCCATAAGAATGTTAAACACCTGAGCTTGCACAATTTTTTTTATTTTACATTTAAATGTATGCCTTGTAATGCACTGTTGAGGAACCTGTGACCTGGCTAAGTTTTTTATTCATTGCATAGCTACACCTTAGTTGTGTTTATGTCATGACAATACATCTTTGAATCTTGAATCCTAAGCTTATTTTAGAAAAATCTAGCCTATCAATGTCCAAAGGTAACAAAATCCACCTATCAGCAGCTCTGAAGCTCAATTATTTACATGCTATATCCTTTATATATACAGCCTATGGCTATATCTCATTTTTCTACAGGAGGCTTTTTGTGTGTGTGCCTTGTGTTTCCAGCCTCTGTGCTATGCTAAGCTAAGTTTAACATACCATCTCCTGGCTGTAGTTGAGAGTGATATGCATTTATATAACATTTGGAAATGAGGGAAAATCCTTTTTCTCTGAAAATTATTTTCAAAGTAAGCATTTTAGTTCTTGCAATTGCATTTACACCAACTATCATTAAAGTGGTTTTAATATGGGGGGATTATCCTGCTGGACAAGACATTTGCTTTTTTGTTTTTATCTTCTTTTCTTCATATCACAAGATCCAATGGAGAAATCCAATTGGCCTTTTGTTAAAGTAGCCCGTACTATGCTAACTTCAAGGTCAGCCTACAAAAATACGACACTCTTTTTACCTAGGGGGTTCTTCTTCGTGCTGACTGGCCGCTGAGCCATTGCACTGCGGAGGTGCTGCAGGATGCTCTGAAGCCCCTGGTCTATTATGTCTTGTGGAGGGAAAGTGATGGGGCAGTTCCTCAGGTTAAGGCCTTTAAGGGTAATTACATTTCCTGGAAAGAAATGGACAAATAAAGTATACATTAGAAGTATGTTTACAGGTTCTTGCATTAGTTGACACAAAGGCAAACATATACCGATTATTTACAATGGGTGCAACAGTGGAGGAATTAACACACTGTATTCTCAGTGTTAAAAATAATAAGACATAACTTTCTGCTCTTCCTCTAAATAAACCAATATGACGATAACACATGCACAAGGCGAGCAAGAAACAACTATTGTCAGCCGAGGTGAGGCCAAGATACAAATTGCTTTGCCATCTAAGCAAACCATTTTTTGCCCTTTCGCTCGCATAAAATGGAAGAAAAAGGGAAATGTTACTTTTGTGCATGTGTACGTGCCCTAACAAAAGACTTTTGGTGGCATTCTGAAGTAGATCTGAGGAGTTGTTGAATTAAACACGATTGCTGTCGTCAGTAATCCTTTATTGTTCATCAATCAGGAGGTTTTTTACCAAATTCAAAACAGTAAACACATTAAATAATTATTTCTCTGACAACTTAAGACCCAGAAGTCTGTTGACTAAAATCATTTACCATTTAGTGGATTGGAATTAAAGTTAATTTATGACAACTTCTGGCAGACAATCTCAATTCCGATGGAAGAGGATAAAACAGGGATACAAAATCATTGACACATTTCCAGGTTTTAAATTGTTGGAAACTTCTTAGATAATGTAAGTAAACAGCTCAACAATATTGGCTAGCTGGAGTATTTATTTTAATTTTAAGGCGGTAATGTCACATCTTATACCTTTATTACATGTACATGGCAGCAACAGTGTTTTTGCAAAAGTTTAAGTGACAACTAAAACATGACAAAAACCTCTGTGGAAAAGTTCCATTAACCCTTCTATTGTCTTCTTTCCCCCCCCCTTACTTTGGTGTTCACGGTCAAATTTGACCGGTCCTGTTTTAACTGCTATTACATTAACACAAAAAGTTAAATTACATTTGGTGATGATTAATGGTTTTTGTGTTAATGTAATAGCAGTTAAAACAGGACCGGTCAAATTTGACCGTGAACACCAAAGTAAGGGGGGGGGAAAGAAGACAATAGAAGGGTTAATGNAATAGTTAAAAAAAGTGAAATAGTGCAATAAGAGTCTATATGCAAGTCATTGAAATATGGTATATTAGGTAAATAGATACATAATTTCTAAGTAGCAGCCAGATGAATGTTATGGACGTTGTTTCAAAGTTCAGGTGTTTAATAGTCTTCTGGCCTGTGGGATGAAGCTGTCCCTGAGTCTGGTGGTTTTAGTCCGGATGCTGCGGTACCACCTGCCAGACGGCAGCAGACAGAGCAGTTTGTGGCTGGGGTGAGGGGGGTCTTTGATAATCCTGAGGGATTTCTTTCAAACTGACACAAACCGACACACACACACACACACACACACACACACACACAAACACTCACACACACACTCACACACGCACACACGCACATATGCACACTCACACACACACA